AGCGCTACTGTGATACCAGAGCCGGCGCCAGGCGTCAGGTGAGCCAGCTTCTTGAGAGAGTGGGTGAGGAATAGATACGCTGCTAAGGGAACACCGGCGTTGCTTCAGGCCTATGGTAGCTAGGCAGAGTAAAGAGAAAATCATCCCCAGGAGCAGTGCTTTATGAGACAAAGCAGTTTCAAAGCATGAAATGGCTTTTTAAGATGACCAAATTAGTAATAAGTAGGTATGCTTACAGTAGACCACATTTATTGGTTAATGCCGCTTCTTGGAAATGATGCTATCACTCTCTGACGATGCCCGTCACAGAGGGATAGAGGGAGGATACGCACAGAAGGATCAGCGCCACAAGATGATGCGGCGATGACGTCGGAAGTAATAAACAGTCTCAACATTAATGCAATCCTACTTCGGGCTCCGATGCGGCATTGAAATATAAATCCATCGAGGGATTCCTATTCATATATGTGAGGGCTTAAAACTGGATCGGACTTCGCAGAAATGCCAATGCCTGTGAATCTTCCTCTTCCTAGGCTTCAAACCTATGGCTCGGTTATCTCTTTCTTATCCACACCCACATTGTGTCTTGTTCTTTGGGGCCCTGTGTCCGGCTTAAGTCATGACCGCTGGTGTGAAAATGCACCGCTCCAGTTTTTTCCTTCGAATCGTGAAACGGACACTTATCTCGTCTTAAGTTGACAATCCCATCAAATCCTAGGGTACTGAGATGATGTTTCTGTTGGTGTGTCGACTAGTATACCCCGTGGTCAAGCACGTTACCAGTCCTCTCCAGACACAGGCACGAAAAATACACACAAAATTTACGCGCACACACTCGTGACCTATATCTGGTCCACCTATACCTCCCAAGAAAAGACTTTTCCGAAAAAATCACATTCTGGAATAACTCTTAACTTCCCTTGTTTGGGGACTTTCATTTTGTATGAAAGTGCATGAAGAAGAGATTCGTAGGTCGATCTCACCAGATGAGGACGGCTGAATCGCGTTGTACTGCAGCCGTTTGGCTTTTGTACAACGTTCAGGTTGACACAGTCCACGATAACTCCTCCCTCGTTTCGGATGAAAACGGGCTGAGCTTTCGTTCATCATATGATGAACATCATCAGAGCTTAGTCTCATTCCAGTTACAAGGCGATTTAGCCGTCATTATCTGATGATATAGACCTACGAATCTCTTCTTCATGCACTTTCATACGAAATTAAAGTTCCCCCAACAATGTTATCTCAGGAGATTCATCGAAACCCAGTTTCTCTTTGTATCCTAACTTCCAGTAGAACCATACTTATGAAATAAAGATTTGAATACTTCAGAGTATGGTCATTAGAAGCCTACGACTCACTTATTCTGAGTTCTGGGAGGCTGTGGATATCCTCTTTTAAAGAAACCTGGTGAACAGAAGACTGGAAGAGGGAAGAGTCTGCGATAATTTCGTGTACTCGAAGATATGAAGACCAAAGTGGTATGGCCCCCTGGATGGTCGCTGTCTCCTTTCGATTTATAGAAGTGGATTGACCTCGTTGTCGTAACTTGGTCTTGTTGTCAGGGTGACTTAGTAGAACGTATCTTGTCCGAAGTCCTCTACAATAGTAGTTGTCATGATTCCCAGCATCAGACAGTGGACTTGGTACATTCTCAAACGTTTCTCCGGCATCATCAGTGAGTTTTGCCATTCGCCGCACCAGGCTACGAACTCGACAAGTGAAGTCAATCCCTCAACAAATGTTCTGCCAAAAATGGTTACACCATCACTCCTCTTTCTGTCCTGGCTTATCTATCTACTCATTAGTCTCCTATCCAACTCCCGCTATAACACAACTTCTCACATGTCCTCTGCCTTAGTAGTTATCATAATTTCCAGCATCAGACCATGGAGTTAAATCGGTCAACCAGAAAGATAAAAAACGGATCTACGAGACCATGAGGGAGATCGGGATAGGAGACCCGAATTTGATTAGCCGATCGAGGGGTTAAGGGTGAATAGCAGGTGTGATGAGGCCACACTAGATTTGCCACAAAATGGCACACATTTTGACGAGTGGAATGTAAACAAGTCAGAAGTTGTGAGAGTGCGGCAGTGGGATAAGAGGGTAAAGAGTAGATAGATAGGCCAGGATAGAAAGAGGAGTGATAATGTAACCGTTTTCGGCAGAACGTTTGTCGAGGGATTGACTCTATTTGTCTATTTGACAAGTTCGTAGCTTGGTGCGGAGAATGGCAAAACTCACTGATGATGCCGGCGAAAAGTTTGAGAATGTTCCAAGTCCACTGTCTGATGCTGGGAATCATGACAACTACTATGGCAGACGACTTCGGACTAGGTGTCTTCTACATAGTCTCTCTGACAACAAGACCAAGTTGCGACAACGAAGTCAACCCACTTATATTTCGTGTACTACCTGGGCAGACTTGGAGATTCAGTGAAGAGATCAAAAAGAAGACGTTCATAGCCGGGACAACTGTTCAACAACAGGAAGAGACATCACAAAGGCGCAACTCATGAGGTACAAAGGGAAGTCAAGAACAGGCAACTGCCATGAATTGACCAAAAATCTACCTGTGAGACGTAGGATATGAAATTAAAGGTTAACGGTATATATGGGCAAGATATAGGTCACGAGTGTGTGCGTGAGTGTTATGCGCATTTTTTGTGTCTGTGCATGAAAGGTAGCTGATGACAGGCTTGACTACGAGGGATACCAGCTAACATACAAATACACGCACATGAACATCATCCTAGCACACTAGGCTTAGAAGGAAATGCCATCTTCTGACAAGAGGAGTGTCTATTTCACGATTCAAAGGAAAAAACTGGAGTGGTGCATTTTCACACCAGCGGTCATGACTTAAGTCGGACACATGGCCCCAAAGAATTAGACACAATTTGAGTGTGGATGAGAAAGAGGATAAACGAATCATGGGTTTGAAGCCTAGGGAGAGGAAGATTCACAGGCACTGGTATGGGCATCATCTGTTCTAAAGCCTCGAATGTCGCGTAATCGAGGACGTCAATTGAAGGCTATTAGGCAGCGGCCCGTTGACAAGCGGGTAGGAAAAAAATTGGGGGCAGAATGTAGGCCAAGAGTCCTACATGCGGTATCTGGTACCGGTGGTGGAGACGATTACGCTTCACTAAGCACACTTTTATCGACACACTCTTAGGCGACATTGGAGGAAACGAGAGCACAGAATTGTGTGAATAAGTGAATGGGTCATATGAAATGGGGTTGAGAAAAAGAGATGCGGCACTAGAAGGTAGAACAAAAAATAGGGGCGAGGAATGATGCCACAACGGTTGAACAGAAAATTGGTCAAGAGGATTGTCTTCCCTTGTCACTTTGATAAGTTGTAACTCTATGCTTGCGATGGAGCCTCTCACTGACGATGCTGGCGAAACGTTTGAGAATGTACCCAGCCAGAGGTCCAATGCTGGAAATCACGAATAAGGACCGAACACTAAAGTCGAGACCGCAGTCCAACTTTAATGAAACACTTAAGTTGCATTTAATGGTCTCATTAGGCCCAATCATATGATTGTGAGAATATTCAATTATTCATTATTTATTACCTTATGTAACCTAGGGTGACTACAGCTCTTATTCAAGATCTACCGAGTCTCAAAACCTACAAAACAAGGAACATATCTTTTTGCCTTTTTGCTTATTTGATGCTCATTTAAGAAGCAAGTTGCATGTAAATTTCTCCTTATACTTATTTGGCTGATAAATAAGCAAGGAGTGCTTCCCCCTGCCAAATAGCATGTCTCGAAGGGAGTCAATATCAGGACTGACGGATCTAGAGACAGACCGAGCATT